GGCGGCTGCTGGCCCCGATCACCCCTCAGGAGCAGGAGAAGGTGGAGAAGCCCTGTGGGGCAATTGGGGCCAGTAGCCACCCCTCACACCCACTGACAGTGCCAAGAGATTGGCGCCAGCGCCAGCAGTAGGTGCAAGTGGAGCCCGCACCAGCAGCAGGTGTGAGTGCTGGGCGGGACCATGGCATGCAGGAGCAAAGAATTTTCAGTACCCACCAGAGGCTTGCCCTGATGATAGCAATCGGCGCCTGTCCTTGGCCTGACACCACCCCCCTCACCTGCTCCACCATTCTGCTGCAGCTGTCACCCACCATGTTCCGCATGCGCCCCCTGATGGTCAGCGCATGTCATAGTGACAGGTTGTTCGATTGTTCCACTGTTTGGATTTTATATAGATAGACTAGATCAGGCGTCCTCAAACTTTTTAAAGTGGGGGCCAGATCACGGTCCCTCAGAGAGCTGGAGGGCTGGACTATATGAACTACTAATTCCTACTGTAACACCTCGGCTGCGCTCACTGCCCAAAAAACCTGGCGGGCCGGATCAGACTCCTCTGCGGGCCGCATGTGGCCCGCGGGCCGTAGTTTGAAGACGCCTGGACTAGATGCCCAGTGCATGAATTCATGCACCAGTGGGGTCCCTCGGCCTGGCCTACAGGATCAGGCCAAAACCGACTCTTCGATGTCCCCCAAGGGGACCTAGATTTCAAGAGGGTGCAGGCCAGGCCAAGGGACCCCACTGATGCATGATCAGAGCCAGGGAGGGATATGGGAGGTTGGCCAGATGGGGAGGGGCTGCGGGAGGGCTCCAGGGCATGTCCTGCCCATCTCACTAAGTCCCAATCAGCCAGATCCCAGCAGCAAGCTAACTTATCGGTTGGAGCATCTGCCCCTGGTGGTCATTGCACATCATAGCAATTGGTCAACCAGTTGACTGTCTGCCCCTAGTGGTCAGTGCAGGTCAGAGTGAGCAGTTGAGTGGCCTTAGCATATCATTAGCATATTATGCTTTGATTGATTGAATGGATAACCGGACACATAGCATATTAGACTCTTATTATATAGGATGCTGCTATGGAATTGGTATGTAAATATCTTTTGCCATATTCTTTTTTCTTAATATTTTTTTATTGATTTCAGAGAGGAAGGGAGAGGGAGAGAGAGATAGAAACATCAGTGATGCGAGAGAATCATTGATTGGCTGCCTCCTGCATACCCCCCACTGGGTATAGAGCCCACAACCCAGGCATGTGCCCTTGACCAGAATTGAACCTGGGGCCCTTCAGTCTGCAGGCCAATGCTCTATGCACTGAGACAAAACACTAGGGCACCCTAATTCTTTTAAAATAAAATTTGTAACTGTCTTTATGGATAGGAAAACTAAGTTTAGAACTGAGTTATTGAAACCAAAGAATCTTGAATTAACATTAAGCTCCTTGGTAGTAATACCTGTATCTTCTTCTAGCCTGACAATTACTTGCACCTTATGGGATTTGACAAAGATTAAAGATTAATAATATATTAAGAGTGGTTCCTTTTGTATTCTTTCTTTTCTTTACCTCAAAAACCTCAAATTCAGCTTTCAGCTGCTAAAACCATCTCTCTCACTGATAGCTGACTATAACCATACACTTGGAGAAACAGTAGACTTAACTCTTTAAAAAAATATAGATAGATAGATAGATAGATAGATATAGATAGATATATATATAGATTTCAGAGAAGGAGGAAGAAAGAGATAGAAACATCAATGATGAGAGAGAATCATTGATTGGCTGCCTCCAGCACATGCCCCACTAGGGATTGAGCCCACAACTCGGGCATGTTTCCTGACCGGGAATGGAACCATGACCTCCTGGTTCATAGATCGATGCCCAATCACTGGGCTATGCTGGCCAAGCTAGACTTAACTCTTGAAACACCCCCAGGTCTTCAATAAACAACAGCAGAAGTGTTTTATTGTTGTTATTTTGTTTTTATTGTGACCCATTTTTGGCTCTCTGTATGGCTGAAAGTAAGCAGAAGTTATTGCCAATCAGGGGACCATTAATGGGACAATTAATCTTTATTACTTATTATTTACATAAATATGTTACACTTTGTGAGTGTTTGGGTTTGAATCATGAATGTAAAATCATTTCTGCACACACAATCTTTAATGACCAAGGAAATAAATGCTAGTAAATCTCAATGTTTACTTTTAAGAATGGGTCATCGTATTTATATATAATTTCACCTTTGAGTGATTTTGCTTGTTTGTTGAGATAGACTTTCTAGATACAGGAGTGCTAATTGTCTTTGTATCTTTAACTGAGAGGAGCAACAGCAGTAATAATCAGTTATTTCAAGTAATAACCTTTTAACCATTTAATTTTGGATATGAAACAATAATATAGCTATATCTAAGTATGTAGCATTTATAGATGCAAAATTATCCCTTATTAAACTCTCAGTGAGTTGCAAATTACTTCATCTGTAGGTATTTCATCTCCTCACTGTACAATATGGGTTTACCAAGTGGCCCGTGAAGTTGTCATGGAAGACAGACAGATCACTCCAGGATGTGTTATGATCCTACTGGGATGCTGGAATTGTTGCTAACTTAATTATTGAGTTCTTGTGGCCTCAGTAAATTTATGTACCAGTTTAATAACTTTTTAAAAGCCTCTTATTCTCTCTTTTCTGGAAGAAAATCAAGAACATTGTCTGGGAAGTATATTAAACAAAGTACTTAAATTTAATAGATGTGCCCCTAACCTAATCTGTTTATAATGTTATTTTTTTTAATATATTTTATTGATTTTGTACAGAGAGGAAGGGAGAGAAATAGCAAGCTAGAAACATCTATGAGAGAGAGTCATCGATCAGCTGCCTCCTGCACACCCCCTACTGGGGATGTGCCCGCAACCAAGGTACATGCCCTTGACCGGAATCGAACCCAGGGCCCCTCAGTCCCCAAGCCGACGCTCTATCCACTGAGCCAAACCGGTTTCGGCTATAATGTTATTTTTTTCCCCTTCATTTTGAAATACTTTGCAAATGAAAAGGTAGGATATACGTGCATTTATTTCCATATTACTGAAATCACACTATTATTAACTATAGATTTATGTTGAAAATGTTCAAGTGTTATAGGAATGTTAATTGGATGAGTATGTTTTACTTACCATCTGGTTCAAGTTTCTGAAATTCCATTTTCTAAAAGAAGACAGCAACAATTCCAGCTATGGCATACTCAAAATGGGAATGAAAGTAATTTGTCCCAAGGATACAGATAAATTATTGTTTTTGCAAACACCTCCGTGGCTAAATTAGAATATTCCTAATACATTTCTCACCTTTTCAGCCATACAGAGAGGAAAATAGAATGCCTGGGTAAACTACTGGTTTGATAAGTGGAAAGTAGCTGGGTCAGCATCTGAGGTTCCAGGGACCTGAGCTTGGCATGAGTGATTAGGCAGTGCTTCTCAGCCCTGGCTGCAGGAAGACTCTTGGGCATCAGCATTTTTAAACATCTCCCAGGTGATTCCATGTTAAGGTTGAGAACCACTGCTTTAGAAGGATTGGAGTAGGAAATTGCATTAGGAGAGTATTAAATGGTCCAAGTTTGTAATAATAATGTTTTCAACTAAGACTTTTCAGTGAGATAATCAGAGGGTAGAAACAACAAGGTTTATGTCCCACACAAGTGAGAAAATGAATGAAGCAAAGATACCATCTTCATAAGAGTCGTGGTCCTAACCTTGAGACTGGGTGAGGTTGCCATTGAAGAGAACCAAGTAGAGATCCTTGAGGGGAAAAGGTTAAAAACCTGGCAAGTGGGGGGAGAATCAATTTGATATCCTATTAGAAGCTAAAGCCTGAGGTTTTCAAGTGGACTACATCTCAAGATCAATTAAGAATAAGTGCAGTAATATGAAATTATAGTAAGCTCTTAAAAATATTTTTGAAATAGCATTGAAATATTTTTCTCAAATGTATGCTTATTGGGTATTTTCAAAGCATCTTTATAAAGATACTTTGAAATCCAAGAAAGACAACCAGACATATGAAGATAAATTAGGTTCTATCCCAGCTCCATGCCTCCAGCCAGCTGACCCTGGGTAAGCCACGTACCCAGTTCTCATTTTACTAATCCAGTAATCGGGGATGACAATACATGCCACACCCACTCCACAGTATTGTTTTCCACATTAAATCAGATAACAAATGTGAAAATGTGGTTTAAAATGTGAATCATTAGGCAGATAATTGATTATTAATAATAACCATTTTGCTGCTGATCGTAAGCACTTTAGTATTGAGAAGCTTTGGACAATTTGTATTCCTGGAAAGAGATAAAATGATACTAGGAAATCCCAGGTACCCATCTCCTCAGATATCTCACTGTCGTCCAGGGAAGGCAGGGTAAGGAAATGAATAGTTATGTCAATTCTATGAAAGCAGGAATCCTATCACTAGTGTACTCCTCATGTCTAACTCGGTGCTTGAAACCTAGCAGGCTCTCCTAAAATATTTTGTTTAAAAAATGTATGAAATAATATAAATCAAGGTAAAAGTCATATAAATAAAATAGTGTGGTGGTTTGGGGAGACGGTATTGCCTGAATCATAGTAATTTACAGACAAATATATGAGGGATCATGAATAATGGGGGAAAGGAGACTGTCCCCCAAAGCTACTTTATTTAACATGGAGCAAAAAAGGTACTGAAACCATATCAGATGCAAAATCTAGAAATAGCAAGGGAAAAATGATTTCTTAAATCTAGAAGACTCCAGGTTGCTCAAGGCCAAGACCATGAAAATCAGGGGAAGCAGTTATGGGTCGGAGTAGAAGCCTTCAGAAATGGGGTTACACTCAGGATGGTTGCTTATGCACTGTATTGATTATGACTACATCTCCCCCAAGGACAAGGGACTGCCTCTGTCTGGATGTGAAGTGTGTTCTGCTCTCCGTGCGGCGGGTGAAAGGATCCTGACCGTGTCCTCTTCTCTCTGCAGGAGTAGATAATCTCTATGAGAGGGCGCTTCACATCCGCAAACTCCTCCTGACCTTGCCCCGGTCGGTCCTCATAGTGATGAGGTACCTCTTTGCCTTCCTCAATCAGTAAGTACCGTAGTGCCCTGCCAAGATGCCCATCTGAATTCTCTTGGCACAGCTCTGAATGCTGCCTTTGTTTCTGGGTTCTGTAAAACGTACATTGGGTTTCATTTATCAGCAGTCAAACGTGATTGAGGATGGACTGAAGGTACATTTTTTTTTCCTCAGCAGATCAAGGCCGATGTATGACAGATGAAAGATGCAGAAACTATGGTCATAAATGCAAAAATATACAAATAGCACTAAAAAGAGCACTTTTCAGTGATATCATGAATGTTTTTGTCAAAATGGTATAAACCACCTGCTCATTGCAAAAAAATTTTGTAATGTTTTAATGTGGTGGTGGAGGAAGAAGGGGAATTATAGATGAGTCTTACACACAGATCCAAAAAGGAATTTCTTCAAATTCAATACAATGAGACCTTGTCATGCAAAAGATATTTCTAAAACCTCTTTTTAAACATGTAGAAGATAGAAGTCTTAAAAATCACTGCATTGTTTTCAAAGAAACTTTTACTTTTAATTTAAGCAACTTGATTTTTAGTGTGTTGCTTCCTGCTACCTGAGCTCCATTATGAGAACATCTTCCCCAAGTCATATGGAGGAATCCTCTTGCTATTCAGTGTTTCAGATGAGCGATTAGAAACAAAGAAATCCAGGAGGAGGTGACTTGGGGAATGGCCTTCTCTTTCTGGCATGGGTTCTCCCTTCTTAAAATTGGGAAATTTCCTCTTCTCTGTTTCACTGGAGGTTTTAAGTTCTCACAAGCCATGGGGATTTTTTACAACCCTGTTGACTATTCCTGAAATCATACCTATTCGGTTGAGCCTAGAAACCAAGTATTGCACAATAGGGAAATGCTGGCAGGGAACCATACAGAATGGAACTACAACAGCCACCAGTGACAATAGGATCCCACTTGTACAGGAGTCACCACTAAAAATAAGCAGTATAGGTATAGACTAGGTTTAGGTTAAATAGATGCCATACATTTTTACCTTTAAATAGCCTACTCAGTCTAATCACCATTTTGTACACCTGAAACTAATATAATATTGTGTGTAAACTGTAACTGAAAAAAAAATTTTTTTAGATATATTTTATTGATTTTTTACAGAGAGGAAGGGAGAGAGATAGTTAGAAACATCAATGAGAGAGAAACATCGATCAGCTGCCTCCTGCACACCCCCCAGTGGAAATGTGCCTGCAACCAAGGTACATGCCCTTGACCGGAATCGACAAGGAACCCTTCAGTCTGCAGGCCGACGCTCTATCCACTGAGCCAAACCGGTTAGGGCTCCACCTATACTTTTTAAAATATAAAATCAAAACGTGGAAAAATAACATTTTTTGCTTTTCAAGCCTGTACTGAATTAAAGACCCAGGACAATGAACTGTGGCCCTGCCCATTGAGCTTACGTGTATCTTTTGAAAATTAAACCATTCTTACTCTGACTCTCACTTCTTCCGGCATCCATTTTCAAGACGATCTGTAACATGATCGTGGCTGTTATTGTGAACTCTCTTTTTTTTTTGAGACCATGTTTGAGGAATGGCAGAAGGGAAAGACATATGTTAGCTGAGGAAATTATGCTTTTGTGTTTTCTACTGTCTAGGGCTATCTTATTTCCAAAAAAGGGTAAAGTATCATGTCATGTGGTTTCCCCATTTCTTTGTGCCTGTCACCATCTCACAAAGGTAGTTGAGTATCTTCTTTCTCCTTCCATTTGTCATCTGTTCACCTGGATTTTACATTTCCTTTCAAGACCGACACTTTATACACTGCCAGATAGCATCTCCAGGCTCTCCCTGGGACAGTCAGTACCTTGCTCCTGTGGTGGAGGCACAGCGATCGAGAGCTGGCTTCCTTGGGGTCGTATATCCATTGATGAAATTTAGAAACTAGTGCTAGACGACCGGAAGCCTCCCCCACGCTTGTAGTTTCCCAGCTTTCGGTGGAAGGAGAGAACTGAGGATTCTTTTCCCCTTGTCTTCATCCAGTGTTGGTCGTCTTACCCAAAAGCAAATTACAGGGGTGGCGTTGTCTGCTTTCTTTCAGTGGTTACAGAGAATTAGGTGCTTTGTTTTCCTCGGGGCTTTCCTCAAGATTTATAGGAGAAAACTGAAATCTGAGATGTTTTTGAGTAGTGGGAGGGCAATTTTAAAAAAAATAGCCATAAAAAATACCCATAAAGCTTTATGGAGATTGCTACTGCCCTTCCCAGGCTTACGTGAGCAGCATTTACAGCCTGACCACAGTGTTTGCAAATGAAACTCACTCACTTGATTTCAGTTTCCACTGTAGAAGAGATGATCTTGACTCTCTTGTGGCTTTGAAAAATGCCTCTTCAGTAAGGGGACTTGTATTACCCTTTCAGTTTCTGTCTCGTTGAAGGGTTATAAGTCACCCTGACTTTCTTTAGCGTTTGCTAAGCCAACTTAAATTAGGATGGAATATCATTTTCATCTAATAATAAAAACCAAAAAAAAAATATTTTAGATTCCTATTTTCAGAATATGTAATATCTTACTAAACATTCATCTTCTTCCCCCCCCCCCCCCTTGTTCTTTTATAACTCCTTCCTTGCTTCCTTTCGAAGTCTTTCACAATACAGTGATGAGAACATGATGGACCCTTATAACCTGGCCATTTGCTTTGGCCCAACGTTGATGCCCGTCCCGGAAATACAGGATCAAGTGTCCTGCCAGGCTCATGTGAATGAAATTGTCAAAACCATCATCATCCACCACGAGACTATCTTCCCGGATGCTAAAGAGCTGGACGGGCCCGTTTATGAGAAATGTATGGCTGGAGACGACTACTGGTGAGTTAAAGAATGTTTAGTCCTTCCTCCCCTGGAAAAACTATGGAAGAATAGGGATCAACTTTTTAAGAAAAGGAATTGCCCATAAATTGCCAATGCTTCCAACAAACAGAAAAGAAGCGGCAGTAGGAACACTTGAGATAAATTAGAATGGCAAGACCCATGACAACACTGGCTCCTTCTTATAGAAAGTCATTCCTTTTCCCCAAGGATGGCATATTTTTAGATATATCCACCCTATCGTGGCTTTTGTAGAGAATAATGGTTTTGATATTATATAGAACTATGTTAATTTCTACTAGTACATCAAGAAAAGATAACTGTTTGAATGGATAGATCTTATTTTCATTCTGCAATAGTTTTAATTCTATATAAAGTGGTTTCTCATTTTTTAAAGGAGCTTTATTAATCAAATGTTTTTTTTTCATTCTTATTTTTTTAAATATATTTTATTGACTTTAGAGCAAGGGAGAGAGAGAAACATTGATGTGAGAGCGAAACATCAATCCGTTGCCTTCTGTACACACCCAACCAGGGACCATGCTCAGAACCTGATGATGTGCCCTGACCAGGAATCGAACCAGCAACCTTTTGGTGCACAGGATGACATCCAACCAACTGAGGCACACTGGCCAGGGCCATTCTTACTTAATATTATCCTAACTAACTGTAATAGTGGTTATTTTTAGCAAATTATTTACATTAATATATTGTTGGAATAATAATTTTTTTATTTTACTTATTTTTACTTGAGTTTATTGGGATGACATTGGTTATTAAAAATCAATAGGTTTCAAGTTTACAATTCTATCACGCATCATCTGTATATTGCATTGTGCATTTACCACCCAAAGTCAGGTCTTCTTTTATCACCATTTAATCCTCCCTATACACTCTTCTACCATCCCTTACCCCCCTATCCCTCTGGTAATATGCATGCTGTCAGGATAGCAGTTTTTTTATAAACAACTTTCAGCGAAGCAGTGAAAATGAGGGAGATATAGTCAATTGAATAATACCAATGCTAGAACACCCTAAGTGGTTTATGTTTATAATTTGATATATGAGCCCCAACTTGTAAGATATTGTATATGATCAATGGAAGTAGCTTGATTCCTTGAATTTCCCCCCCCCCCCACCTCTCCTCAGGGCATATGATCTCTCTTACTCCTCACAGTCACTCTACCAAATAAGTTAAGAGAGACCAAGGAGCTTGTCCAATGACTGGTAGCAACTGGAGACAGCCCACTGGAGACAGGTCTGTCTGATTCCAAACCCACACAAGTCCTCCCCCTTCACAGCTGCTCCCAGCCTCACTCGGAAACCCCCCGCGCAGCTCTCATGCAGGGATGGCTGGAAATAGACGTGTCTGAGCCTTCATTTTCGACCCTCTCTGTTTCCCCTTGCCTTCCCAGGGATTAAGCAGAAATAGAATAAGTAGCTGAAAGATCTTAAGTAACTAAAACTACACTTATTTTTTACTTAAACCACAATGTGATCTTAAACCACAGTATGGTCATATGCCTAAAGAAAACCCAGAGTTGACTCTTTCCAGAAGCACTGCTTTCTAAATTAACCACAAAGGATGATACATGCCAGTTCTATTGTATATCCAGCAATTTTACACATGAAATTCAATTCAGAAATATTTACTTTACCCCTCACTTAACTATGTACAAGGAACTGCCTGAGCTTGGCGCTGAGAAGATGAAGGAATAAGCATGTAGATGTCTGATCAGTATTATTGGATTTTCTGTACTTTTTGTGGTTGCTGCTTTCTTACAGAATAAAATCCCCATAATAAAGAGTCTTGCAGCAGTAACATGTGCTTATGTTCTTCTCCTGTACGTAGTGTTCTCCGTGGGCATTGCTCATTCTAAACTGAAAGTCAATAAGACAGCAGTTACCCTTGTTACTCAACATCAGCAATAGAAATGGGCTTTTGCAGCAAAAAGTCACGTTTGTATTTGTGTCCAGTGCTTATTTCATTTATCAGCATGCTTGTGAGGAGAGGTGATGGTAGTGTTAAAGGTGAGTTTTTGGTTTGTTTGTTTTTTTGTTTAGTTGATTTTAGAGAGGAAGGGAGAGGGAGAGACAGAAATAGAAACATTAATGATGAGAGAGGATCATTGATCGGCTGTCTTCCACACACATTACTCTGGGGATTGAGCCCGCAACCTGGGCATGTGCTCTGACTGGGAATTGAACCGTGACCTCCTGGTTCATAGGTTGACACTCAACCATTGAGCCACACCGGCCGAGCCAGGGTGAGTTTTTGAAAGGATAAAATCATAACTCTCACACAAATATACAAAGAACATCTGTGAAGAAAAGATAGGAAAAAAAATACAATTAATTCAAAGCAGAAATCAAAGAGCCATTTATTAATATGTGGTAAGGAGTGTTGAAATGAATTTGCAAAAACGGGTGCATTCATAGGGCAAATATCCCATGAGAACTTGACACGTTTTCATTTCTGTGGATAAGAGTTACTTAGAAGGCTGCAAGTTTCCTACAGTTAGCTTTGTCTCTGCAGAGCAGTAAAACAACCTCTGTGTCCCGCCCGAAGGGACGCACACTGCCGAGGGGCCAGATGGTCCCTGGAGGCCCCAGCATTCCACTGAGAGGCTGTCCAGTAACACTGGCCATCCCAAGCCTTATATGTTTCCTTACAGTAGCAATTGTTCATTTTTGAAATTCCTTCCACTTTGGTTTCACATGAATTCCTATTTCCGCTCCACAGCGACAGCCCCTACAGTGAGCACGGTACCTTGGAGGAAGTGGATCAGGATGCTGGTACCGAGACGCACACCAGTGAGGACGGTATGCTATAAAACTAGTCTTAGGTCCTTTTTAAGAACGGCTCATATTAAGAATTCAGGAGAAAAAAATAATTTTTATAAAGTAAGTGTAGAGTATGAAGAATAACCTGCAGTGAACACTCATGGAACCACCAAGTTTCAGAAAAAAAAGGCATCGTTACCCTTGTTCTCCCCTAATGCCTTTGCCATCCTCACCCCCAAGGGCAGCCTCCATTCGTCTGTGTGTTTAAATGGTTTGTTGTTTCATTTTCTCTTTTATTGAACTTCTCTAAATGGAAGCATACTGTACATTTTCCCCATTTTTTTCTACTCAGTAATAATGTTCCAGAGATTTATCCACATTGTTGCATGTAGTTATAATCATTTAATTCACTACTGTATAATATTTCATTGTGCTTATATATTTTGTTATTGGTCACCGCACAAACTCATGCACCAGTAGCTCTCTGCGGGGCCTGGTCGCTCCACGCGGGCTGCCCAGAGGCTCTCCACAGCCCAGAGGCCCATCCATGGCCAGGCGCAGAATGCTTGCCTTGTCGCTAGGGCAACGATGCAAGCATTCCACCAGGCCGCTCACGCTGCCCACTCTCAGTGGCCACCTGCCCCCCTCTCCCCCCAGGACTGGGGGACTCCGGCAGGGCTGAGAGGACTGGGCACTGCCATCTTGTCACTATGGGTGCTGCCATCTTTGTGATGGAATGACAGTTAATTTGCATATTTCCTTTTATTAGATAGGCTATATGGGGTGTTCTTTTTTTTTTTTTTTTTTTGCCATTAAAAACAATGCTGCAATGAATATTTTGAGTATGCATCCCACTGCAAATGTAAAGGCGTTTCTCAGATGTACACACCTAGGAATAAGCTTATGAAAATCATTGTAATGGTGTACACGTCCCTCAGCCTTTCAGTTGTGTGTATATTCATCAACACTTGATTTTATCAACTATTGTCATCTTTGCCAATATTGTCGATGTGAAATTGTATCTCCTTGTGATTTAAATCGTATTTATCTGCTTTACTGGTGGAGATGTTTTAGACTACAGTCTGTTCATAGAAAATTGGTGCATAGGGAGGCCAGCAGACCAGGAGATTGCCATTGACGATACGTTGTTTCTCACAGCTCCCACAAGGAAGGAGCACAGCACCCTTGGGTGGCCACAGCATAAAGGGCCAGGGTCTGTCAGGAGGCAGGAGAGGGAGCAACTGGGCAGGAACCTTTGTTTCGGTTTCCACAAGAGCAGGAGAGGCTAGCTAAGCAGGTTGGAACAATTTCAGCAGGCTCTGGGGCAGCTCTTTCTCCGTGTACCTGGCCGGAGGTGATGAGGACACGGGGGGGGGGGGGGGGGGGGGGGGGGGGGGGGGGGGGGCGCAGCCTGTGAGAATCCTGGAGAGGAGCTGGTTGGGGGTGGGCTGTGGATCGGAAGGATTGTATTGGGAAGGCACACTCCAGGTGTAGGAATTGGCTGACCTGGGAAGCACAGTCCCTCCAGGGCCAACAAGGCCCAGATGTCTGAATACAGAAAATAAGAAACATGGTTAATACAGATATAGTCATTTTATATGTTTAGATTTCTTTCTGTGTGAAATTCCTATCAAGTCTTTTGCGCATTAAGGCCCCATTGGTCCACTATTAGTTTCTCTGGGCTTTTAAAATGTATTTAGTTTAGTTTGGCTTTGGTATTTTTCTTATTTGTGAGTGTTTCTTATTTGTAAGAGTTCATTACGGTTCTGAAACAGGTCTTTTACTGGGTCTATATTTTACAAATACCTTCTGCTCTGTAGCTTGTCTTTCATGTGCTTCTTATATCTTTTACTAAAGAAAGGGTCTTAATTGTAAAGGAGTTAGAAGTTTTTTTCACTTTGTGTCTCCTTTAAGAATATCCTTCTGTACCCTGAAGTAATGAAGAGAATTCTCCCATACGCTCTTTTAAATCTTTTCAGGTTTTGTTTTTCACAAAAGCTTAAATTAACCAGGCAGAGAAAATGCCCTCAGGACAAACTCTGACTCACATTTTCTAGTGTTCTGTTTACTTCACTGGATTCCCACTTTTATTGAGTTTTTGGTCTTTAGTATTCCTTAGTATTATGACGGCTCCAATGTCATCTCAAAGTGTTGTTTTTTCAATCCAACATTCGTTTTTAAATATATTTTTTATTGATTCCAATGAGGAAGGGAGAGAGAGAGAGAGAGATAGAAACATCAATGACGAGAGAGAATCGTTGACCCGCTGCCTCCTGCACACCCTCCTATTGGGGATGGAGCCCGCAACCCAGGCATGTGCCCTGACCTGGAATCGAACCAGTGGCCTCCTGGTTCACAGGTGGTTGCTCAACCACTGAGCCACTCAAGCCAGGCTCAATACATTTTTTAGTTGACTTCAACAGGAGGGTAATCAGGGTGTCTAGTGTGTCTACGCTCTGCTATAAAAGGAAAATTTCTTCGTGTTTTTAAAAGGAGGATGAGTTGACATTTTCAGAGCTTAAGTTAGAAGATATTCTTTCACATGAGAGCTTTTGAAAGTCTCTGAACCCTACCTCTGCTACCATTTATTCTTTTGTCTGGAGTTTCTTTGTTGCTCTATATGATTCATTCCTTTTTCATTGATGGCTTTTCTCTGAGTGTTTCCTTGCTCTCCCCGTGGCAGAAGACAAAGCCGCAGCCATCCCTCTTTCAAACATCACCCTCTCCTCTGTGCCATCTGTCTGCTGTTCTTACCTCTTGACTGTAAAAGAAAAGCTTTGCTGAGGGCCCTGTGTCTTAGATAACATTTTGATTATGTTCTTCTGATTTTGTTAAAGAAAAGCATTGTTTATAAAGGTCAGACACCCTGCCCCACAGCCAGCCCCTAAAGTCCTGTAGCTAAATTAATTGGAGTATTGATTATCTTTTTTATTGCTCAGATATTTATTTTCCTTTCTTTGTCATGGAATGACTAGAGAGAACAGCTTTTGTTTCCAAAAAGAGAGGCTGTAACAGAACAAAACTGTCGTCTGCAAGGGCAGCGGGTAACAGATCAAGGAGGAAAAGTGGCAGGGACAGCGAAGGCCCAATGAGAAAGTGTGATGTACTAGCATTATAAAATTAGAAGAAATATAAATATTCTACTGAATTTTTCCCCTTTGCACAAAATTACAGCAGCCAAGCATAAAAATGAAGCTATCATAGTACACTCTTATTGTTATTGATAGTGGCAGCATTCTTCGGTCTCTGCCCAACATTAAAGGGCCATGTTACCCTCTGCGAAAGGCATGTGGTGGGTTGCCATGCCCTGAGATTGATTTGCTCTGCAATGACTAGACAAAGATGTGTATAAATAGCTTATGATTGACACTTGACTGTGAAATGACTCTTATGGGAGCAGAAAGATCCAAAATAATGAAATTGCTCAGAATTACTAGCAGGGTAACCAATAAAATGTACTTCTGATTCATCTGGTTATTCTTTCATAACCTCTCCACATTTGAACTAAACAAGCAAAAACTGGTGGTCCTGTTGCTAGTTGTTTCAAAAAGTAAAAAGAAGAGATTATGAGCACAGAGGTTATGATTATGAAATTATGAAAAATATGTGTATATCTATTAAATAGTCTTAAATAGTCTTTGGCCAGTGTTGACGTGTATGATTGAGTGGCATTCAAGAACATTAATGGTTCTCTCTTCATTTCCCATTGATAAGTACGTGGATTGTACACTGTGATATGGGCTGGTATCGTTCCTTCTTTTTCTAATAAAACAAAATTTTAACACATGGGGTGCTCACATAAGAATTTATAAATTACATGTCATGAAGTTTTTTTTAATGAATTGACATGTCTTCATTCTTCCATGGGTATGTTTATTTGTATCCCTACACCATGGACATGTTTATTTCTGCCCCCTAGGGAGAACTGAAGTAAAAAAAAAATTGGTATCTGTCATCTCAGATCAACCAGCATTTTTTCTGTGTCTGCAAATTTAGAACAAACTAAAAAGCTCACTCTTTGAATATAAGGTTATATTCCTCCTCTATGATGCAGACTGGTAGGTATTTAATAAAGTTGCAATTGATATTGTTTTAATAAAGAAAATATAATTTTTGGATGGAATACCAGAGTGTTAACATATGATCTAAAGTTACAGTCAGTTTTTAAATGGTTAACTGTTGTTTTTAAATTATTTTTATACCTACTTTGCTGAAAAGTATACTACATGCAGACTATAGTGCAGAATGAAATATTATTCTCCTTAGACATTATCTACTAGCAAAGAGATGGGGCATTTTTTGTCTTTATTTTAAACTAGAGGCCCGATGCATGAAATCCATGCACGTGTATGGTCCCTAGGCCTGGCCAGCAATCAGGGCCGATTGGGGCCTTCCCCAGCTGCTACCCTGTTTCCCCGAAAATAAGACAGTGTCTTATATTAATTTTTGCTCCCAAAGATGCGCTAGGTCTTATTTTCAGGGGATGTCTTATTTTTCCATGAAGAAGAATATGGTACACATTTATTGTTAAATGAAAATAAAGGACATTTATTACCATATTTTATGGCATATAAGACGACCCCCCCTAATTTTACAGTTAAAACATAAGTTTAGGCCTATATTCGCTGTATAAGACTACCCCCCACTTCCAAGGCAACACCAGTTCTTTTTTTTAATAGACTGCCTCTCTGACTCTGGCCAATCTGAGCAGGCTTTTTTTCGTTTCAAAGGTCATCTTATACGCCGGAAAATACGGTACCTGTATACGGTACGGTAGTACGGTAGCTGTCAACACAAACCAGACAAACTGTGGATCCTACAGTATCAAGAATTTACTCATTTATTCAATGACAATCATGTCATCATCTTTTGGAACATCATCATAACAATCCAATTCCTAAATTTCCTGGTGAATTTCTTGTGACTCCATTTCTTTCAGAATCAGTGGACCAAATCTCTCATGTTTAGCCTAGGGGGGCCTAATGTTTGGGGGGGAGGAGGGGTGCCTTATATTTCACTCAGAAGGAAACCTGTAAGTAAGGATGTCTTATTTTTGGGGAAACACAGTAGCTGCGGGCCTGGGCCTTCCTTCATTCCATGCTGCCCCCTGGTGGTCAGCATGCATCATAGCGAGCGATCAAACTCCCCATCTCTTGGTGGAACTCCTGAGGGGACATTTTGCTCATTAGCCTTTTATATATATAGATGTATAGCCCAGCCAGTGTGGCTCAGTGGTTGAGTGTCAACAGGAGGTTACAGTTTGATTCCTAGTCAGGACACATGCCTGGGTTGCTGGGTCGTTTCTCAGTAAAGGGTGTACAGGAGGCAGCCAATCAATGATTCTCTCTCATCGTTGATGTTTTTATTTCTCTCTCCCTCCCTTTCTCTCTGTAATCAATAAAAATATATTTAAAATAAATTAAATTAAATATATAGTTGAAATTCACCCAAGCCCTTCAGATAAGGCAGATCCTAGCTTTTTTAATATGTTTATTGGTTTTCATTATTTGCTTTACCTGTCCTAAAGAGTGTTTGAATTTATCAAGTGAGAAAGAAGCTTAGCTGGCTACCCAAGGACCTCTTAGGCAGTTATTCCATATAAATACAACAGATATTGAAGATACTACAGTGGACTTTGGGGGGAAAAATAAACTATTTTATTTTTTTAATAAGTTTTTATTGTTCATATTATTACAGATGTTCCTTTTCTCCTCCCCCCCTTGCTCTCCTCCACCAGGTTCCCACCCCACCCTCTGCGCTTTTCCCATCCCCCATTGTCCTCATCCATAGGTGCACAGTTTATGTTGTCTCTTCCCACATCCCCCTCTCCCCTTTTCCCCAAGAATCGTCAGTTCACTCCCCTTCCATACCTCTGATTCTATTATGTTCAACAGTTAATATTGTTCCTCAGATTTTTTTTTAAATTTCCTTGGTTTTTAGATTCGCTTGTTGATAGTTACGTATTTGTTGTTCATAATTTTTATCTTTATTTACTTTCTCTTCTGAAAGAATCCCCTTCAGCAATTCATATAATTCTGGTTTGGTGGTGATGAACTCCTTTAGCTTTTTTTTAATTAGTGAAGCTCTTTATCTGACCTTCGATTCTGAGTGATAGCTTTGCTGGATAGATTATCTTTGGCTGTAGGTTCTTGCTATTCATCACCTTGAATATTTCTTGCCATTCCCATCTGGCCTGCATGGTTTCTATTGAGAAGTCAGCTGACAATCGTATAGGTGCTCCTTTATAACTACCTGCTTTGCTCTTGCTGCTTTTAATATTCTCTCTTTGTCTTTTGCTCTTGGAAGTTTAATTATGATTTGTCTTGGTGTCGTCCTCTTTGGATTCCTTTTGTTTGGAGTTCTGTGCGCTTCCTGGACTTGTAAGTCTAATTCTTTTACCAGGTGGGGGAAGTTTTCTGTCACTATTTCTTTCAGTATGTTTTCGATATCTTGCTCTCTCTCATCTTCTGGGACCCCCATAATTCTGATGTTGGTTCGCTTGAAGTTGTCCCAGAGGTTTCTTACATTATCTTCAATTTTCTGGATTCTCTTGCCTTCTAGCTTCTGTGGAGGAGTGTCTTCTGGCTCTTTATGTTCCAAATCTTTGACTTGATTCTTGCGATCTTCCATTCTGTTTTTAGGACTCTGTAAAATATTTTTATTTCAGACAATGTATTCTTTATTTCTTGTTGATCCCTTATCATTTCTTGTTGATTCCTTATTAATTCTAGTTGACCCCTTTTCACATCCTCATAGGTCTTATCGATCTTTTCTAGGAAATTCTTGAAAAACTTTATAAGTTTAGATTTGAACTCTATATTCAGTCGCTTTTTGTCCTCCATTTCTTTCGTTTGTGATCTATTTCGTCTTGGCATTTTCGCAGTTTTCCTGATGGGGCGGGGTTTCAGGGTGGAGCCTACAGCTTTGGCTTCTGTCAGCCCCGCCCTGTGCGGCTCCTGAGTCTCAGGTCCTTCAGTACTCGTTGCAAGGGCCTCTGAGAGAAAGGTGCCCTCGATTTTCGCCTGCTACCAAACAGTCTAGACTCTCCCCCAATGAGCCCAGTATTGGTGTTCAGTTCATTTGGAAGCGGAGTTGGAGGTGGCGTTCAGAGCAGTCTAGAGCCCCTGTCTCCTTCCAGCCAGGGCAATCCCGCGGCACAGCCGACCGTCCCTTCTCTGCACGTAATGTGCACGCCTCCGGGACCTCCTTTCACTGCTTCCCCCAGGTTCCGCCTTACAGCCCAGCTCCCTCTGTTTGAGCCTGGGTCCCCGGGGTCTGACCTAGAACTGGGATTCAGAGCAGTCGGAACTGAGGCCCAGCACAGTCGGAGCTTTTATCTCCTTCCCGCTAGGGAACGCCAGCCAGGCACTCAGCCTCCCTCCTCTTCGGCTTCGTCCTCTCTGCGCGCTGCGTGTCTCTGTAACTTAGGCTTTTACAGCTCCTCCGCTCTTCCTTCTGGTTTTCTCCTTGCTTCTCATTGTAGAATTTCCAGTCAGTCGACTTTCCTGTAGTTCTGGGTAATGTCCATTTTTTATTTTAGTTGTATTTTATTGAAATTGTTGTGTGCGGCTGCGGCTAGGTGTTTACCTGTGCAGCCATCTTGGATAAAAAATAAACTATTTTAAATGAGAAGGATTGTTTCCAAGGGAAACTGAAGACAATTTCCTGAGAAAACATTTGACAGATAGGTTTTAATCTGTTATGTGTGCACATATATTTGAGTATTTGGAAACTAATGCATACTCAGTTTTTAGCAAATGAGGATTGCTCATAGCATAGATATACAATAGTTCTCTAAGTATGTACCACCTGTATTGGCCCTTTTTATAATAGTTCTGTTTACTTTAAATATTTTTATTCATTGATTTGAGAGAGAAATCAATTTGCTGTCCCACTTATTCATACACTCACTGGTTGGTTCTTGTATGTGCCCTGACTAGGATCAAACCTGTAACTTTGGTGTATCAGGATAATTCTCTAACCAAATGAGCTACCAGCCAGGGCCAGTACTGTTTATCACTGATTAGCAGGGAAGAGGATGAGGTGCTGTTGGGAGAGAAGGAAGATCACAATAAGCCAAATTACCAAAAGCACCTGATATGGTTGTTTAATTTAATTTGTCTGCTTATTTGCCTTCAATATTTGTGGTCAGAATTAGGCCAGAGCTGAAATTCCTATTCTAGACCCAGAATTCAATACGTTTTTCAAACTTTTTATTTTGAAATTATTGTAGATTTACATATTATTGTAAGAAATAATACAAAGATTCCAAATACCCTTCAACCAGTCTCCTGCCACAATAACTGCTTATATAAGTAATACCACAACTAGGAAATTGACATTGATACAATCTATTCACCATATTCACATTTTACCAGTTTTACGTGCCCTCATTTGCGTATGTATTTACTTGGTTCACTTTTATCACATGTATAGATTTGTGTGACCACAATGACAGTCAAGAACAGTTCCATCCCAAGGATGCCTTATGCTGCCCCTTACAGCCATTTCCTCCTGTCACCTACCCAACCCCAACCTCTGGCAACCATTAATCTAGTCTCCATCTTGATAGTATATCATTTCAAGTAGGCTAAACAAATGGAATTATACAGTATCTAACCTTTTGAGATTGGCTTTTTTACTCACTATTATTCCCTTGAATACCCTTTTATCTCTAAAAAAATACAGTTTTTTTATTCTGGTCTTTTAATGTCAGTACAGGACAGTCTTCAGTTATGCTTATTTCATGGGTAATAGTCAGAATTTGTTACTAATACTGGAGAACACAAAGTTGTCTTTACATTTGATGGTAGTTTGAAGATCTGATAATACTAAAAAAAAAAGTAGATGAGGAAACTCAATGTATTCAAGTAGTATTTAATGTGGCAATTTTTGTAAACTTGATTTAAAAAAAAAAATAAGCACATAAAACATAAACTTCCTGGTGTTCTGGGTTAGCGATTCTCACACGTTATAAGTGGGATTAATGTGTTGCAAGGGAACTCCATCAATGTCAAAATTATATTGGAGTTGTTGTGGAGGATATTACAACTCCTGGAGAGATCTTATATATCATACTGCAAAGTTTAAACTATTTTTTATTAAACTGTCATTATAGCTCTAGTAAGAGGCTGTGGAAATTAAGATCTAATGTTCAATTTTTCTTTGCCTGAAAGACTGTTGACAGCCAAAGAATGTTTTTCTGTATCTCTTTTAGCATCTCCCTTTCTCTTTCCTGATGATTTGTTTATTTTCTTGTTCTGTCTGGATATGAAAGCCGCCTTCCTTATTTCTAAGGCCTAACCCAGACCTTTCAGAGAGTGTATGATGCCTTTCAACAACCCCGTCCTTCACCGCTTCCTGTGTGTTCTCTGTAGAATGTGAGCCGATAGAAGCCATCGCCAAGTTCGACTACGCTGGGCGGTCCGCCAGAGAGCTGTCCTTCAAGAAGGGGGCCTCCCTGCTGCTGTACCACCGCGCGTCCGAGGACTGGTGGGAAGGCAGGCACAACGGCATCGACGGGCTGGTGCCTCACCAGTACATTGTGGTGCAGGACATGTGAGTAGCCCAGCCTCTCAGACCCCAAGAGGGGACTGCAGCTTCTGCTCTCCCGGTGACCTTGGCCTTGTGGGACAAGAGCAGGAGGGCTTGCAGCACTAGCACTTCTGAGCTGGCAGTGCTTCCCCTGCTCGTGGGCTCTGATAACAGAGCTGCCGGCCAGCAGGTTTTCATTCCTCAGAATCCACCCGGAGGCTGGGAGCAAGGATTAGTGAGAGACGCTTTTTGGAGCCTCCCGTTTCCTAGAACCTGAGCAGAGAAAGATGTTTATGCGCTGAGTGGCACTGCGGAGTCCAGAAGCAGCGGTGCTCTTTTTTTGGGTATCTGCCACCGTTTCAGTTCCAGGTTCCCAAGAGAGAAGGCGCTGGCTTCTCTCAAGTTTAAATAGTATCATCTCCTGGCTTTTTCTTCTTTTTTTTCCTTTTTTTCATTTTGCTGCTGAGAAAGCTCTAATTTCAAAATTATTTTAAAAGATGGAAAGATGGTCAGATTAAGTGAAAGAAACAGGTTACAGAGTGAGATGTACGGTTTAATTTCTATTTTGTGAACACGTTACTTCACAATGCAGCACCAATTTAAGAGCAGCTTTTCAAGGAAAAGAGAAATATACCACATAAAATGTATAAAGTGAATACATGAGTCAGCCTAATTTTAGAAGTGTTAAAATGTGTACCTCAGAACCCAAGAAATATGTGTATACTAGAGGCCCAGTGCACAAAATTCATGCACTGATAGAGTCCCTAGTGGCTGCCAGCTGCCAGCCAGGGCCTCCCTCCCTTCCCCTGGGCCAGCCCTGCTCCCTGGTCAAACTCCTGGACGACCTTTCTGTCAAGGGGAAAATTTGCATACTATGCTTTTATTATATAGGATATAGATATCAGTCATATGCATCTAAAGTATATAAGCATAAGCATCCATAATGTACAGTAAATACTATATACATATACAGGGTGGGGCAAAAGTAGGTTTACACTTGTGAGTATGCAAAATACAGTTTATTATCTTATTATTTCTAACTACTGGCCTGGTGCATGAAATTCATGCATGGGGGGAAGGAGGAAGGGGGGTGGGAGGTGTCTCTCAGCTCAGCCTGCACCCTCTCCAATTTGGGATCCCTCTCATAATCCAGGACCACTGGCTCCTAACCGCTCACCTGCCTACCTGCCTTATCACCCCTAACCACTCTCCTGCCAGCAGATTGACACCTAACTGCTACCCTGCCAGCCTGATCACCCACAACTACCCTCCCCTTCCAGCCCAATCACCCTCAACTGCCCTCCCTTTTATGCCTGATCACCCACAACTGCCCTCCCCTGCCAGCCCGATCGCTCCCAACTGCCCTTCCCTGATGCTACCTGCCTCCTCCATCAGGACCTGCCTCTTCCACACCACATTGAGCCAGGTCTCACTGCATGGAGCAGCCACCAGGCTCTGCCTCCCGCTGTGTGTGTGTCCATCTTGTGACAATGTCATGCATGAGGGCCACTAGGCTTTTATTAGTATGGATTATATTATTTTCCATATGAACAACTATAACCCACTTTTGCCTCACCCTGTATGTGCACACACTCATAGGCATGTATCCCAGGCATTACAAAAAGTATGGAAGGATAGTTTTTAAAATACTGACAATAGTTGTCTCTGGATGTTATATTATGGGTGATTGTTATTTGTGTATCTGAATTTTCCACTTTTTCTGCAATGAAATTGTATTGTTTTTATAATGAAAAGAAAAAGTTATGTTAATAAGAGACTTACATACATAACTGCCATCACTTTTTTTTTTTTTTTTTTTTGGTGTGTGTGTGTTTGTGTGTGTGTCCTATTCATCTAGCAAAACATCCTCACTGTTGATTCTCGTTACTTCAGGGATGATACATTTTCAGACACACTGAGCCAAAAAGCTGACAGCGAGGCCAGCAGCGGGCCAGTGACTGAAGATAAGTCGTCATCCAAGGACATGAACTCCCCTACAGACCGGCATTCGGATGGGTATTTAGCCAGGTGGGTGGAGCCTGGTAGTCAGGCTCCTGAGCCTCCACTTCCCCTGGGGCCATGCAGAGCCACAGTGCCCTCTGCAGTGTTACCCAGGGTAGTGAGCTCTCCTTCTCTCTCTCTCTCTCTCTCTCTCTCTCTCTCTCTCTCTCTCTCTCTCTCTCTCTCTCTCTCTCTCTCTCTCTCTCTCTCTCTGTGTGTGTGTGTGTGTATGTCTAGACAAAGAAAAAGAGGAGAGCCACCCCCTGCAGGAAGGCGTCCTGGCAGAACCAGCGATGGCCATTGTCCCCTCCACCCCCCACATGCTCTTTCCAACTCCTCAGTGGATCTGGGGTCCCCAAACCTGTCCAGCCACCCCCGGGGCCTGCTGCAGAACCGTGGCCTCAACAACGACAGTCCGGAGAGGAGGCGCCGGCCAGGCCATGGCAGCCTGACCAACATCAGCCGGCACGACTCCCTCAGGAAGATTGATAGCCCTCCTATTCGAAGGTCCACGTCATCGGGGCAGTACTCAGGCTTCAGTGACCACAAGCCGCTGGACCCCGAGGTGATCGCTCAGGTGAGATGCTTTTAATGGAATGGTGCACGTTCCGTGCCTGGAGTGTAAAGGTTTGCAGGGTTTACTTTTTTTGTAGCCCTGTATTTTGTATAGAACCAACTAATGAACACAGGAAGGAAATTAGCCCGTTCTTTACTGTAAGGCCTGCCTATGGGCCTCTGGAACAACCATGTGTTACTGGAAGGACCCAAGGACATTAGGTTTATATAGATTTAAACAGTCATGGCAGAAATGTAGGACCCAGGGCATTCAAATGCATCATTGCTCCATAGCCAGGAAAATTCTGCAGAGGAGAATAATGAGGAAGGACTAGCCCTCCCACATCTGAAAGCATGCTGGAGACAGTAAAACAGACAAGTGGATGGAACAGAACGGAGAGCCCAGAAACAGAAATGTTTTGGTATAGGATAAAGGTGATACTTTCTTCTCAAGAAGTGATGAATTAGTTAATGATGAGAAGTGATGGTTAGCTGTTTGGAGAACAGCAGGTCTGGGTACTGGGTCACTCCTGAGTACATGCATATCTTCACTTTTTCCTAATGATTAGAATTGACAAAGTCAAAGGACCTGTAAAAGAATAATTTAATTTGCCCTAGCAGGTTTGGCTCAGTGGATAGAGTGTCGGCCTGTGAACTAAAGGGTCCCAGGTTCGATTCTGGTCAAGGGCATATGCCTGGGTTGCGGGCTTGATCCCCAGTAGGGGGCGTGCAGGAGGCAGCCAGTCAATGATTCTCTCTCATCACTGAAGTTTCTATCTCTTTCTCCTCTCCCTTCCTCTCTGAAATCAATAAAAATATTTTCTTTAAAAGTTCATTTATTTTCCCATAATTCCACCATACTCCCCCTTTGTTCTTTTTGCAACACAGTCATTAAAAAATGTGTGTGTGGCCAGTGACAAAGGAGGTGAATAAATTCAGGCTTTGCCATTTGCGTAATCTAAAGCGACTTCCAGCTATCACTGAAGCTTAAAACTAAATAGATCAAAAAAGAAAGTGAATGAGAAATGAAGAGACAAATATGGGGACCTATTAAAGATGTATTATTTTTCATAACAAGTGCCCAAGGAAACCTGCACTGATGTGACAGATTTCCAAGATATTTTCCGTGCTCTAACTAAAAATAACTTTGGGTTGCAGATTAGATTGTATAAGGAGTTTAATGTGTTTTTAAAACGTTGAACCAATGTTAAGTGCACAACGATCTTTCAGCAAAAATCAAAAAGATTTTTGCCCTCTTGGTTTTTTCTATTTGAAGAGCTCTCTGTGCAGGGCCTTTTGAGGCCTGTTTGGAGCTGGTGAGTGGCATTTGACTACAGCGCAGTAATGATCGGGAAAGCCGTAACATCACTGCTTACAATGAGCAGGTGAAAAGGATTTGAGTTAGAGAGGCAGGGAATCGGGAGCTTGGGGGTGGGAAGACCTGCTAAGGTCTGTTTAACCCTTCTGCTTCTAGAGACAGGAAATCCTTTCATTGCAGATCATAACAACAGAAACTCAGCAGATAAACAAGGCTCTCTTCCTTCTCTCTGGGGCAAATACTTGTTACAAAAACAAATCCATATGCTTAGCATCAAATGGAAGTCACATATGAAAATAATTACTGGCAAAGTGATGTCATCCTCACAAAATGGCTTCCAGCTGTGTCCTTTATTTATCTTTCCATCTCTTACCTCCAGATTTTCCCATGAGGACAATGAAGCCTGCCATCATGATGTTCATACAAATATATATACAAGAATTTGCATATATATATATATATATATATATATATATATATATATGTGTGTGTGTGTGTGTGTGTGTGTGTGTGCAAATTCTTTTATTAAACCAATCAGTAGGGGTTTTTTTTAACTACAATATCCATATGTGATTATCATGTTTTGGTTTATTCATTCAGTGGAGCACTTACAGTATGCCAAGTCCTATGCTAGGCTTAATGGACACAAAGTTAAATCAATAGCCTGGAGATGCTTACCGCGCAGTGAGGGGGGTGTGGAAATCAGTCAGCCCTGTGCGTTGCCAGAGGGTTGTGCTCCAGGTGAGTGGAAGAAGAGGTCTCTCCGTCAGACCAGAGCAGGGGTCCTCCGTTCACCCTCCTCACACAGCACTCGACCTTCTGAGTGTGTGCATGGTAGCAACACAGTTCAGTAAAATATATTCACGTTGCTGTGAAACAGATCTCTAGACCTTCTTCATCTTGTAAAACTGAAACTGTCCACCCGCTGAACAACAGCTCCCCTTTGGCCCATCCCCCCCAGCCCCTGGCCGCCACCATTCTGTTTTCTGCATAGTCAGTGAGGGTGACTGCCTTATGTAAATGGAGTCACACAGTAGTTGTCTTTTTGTGATGGGCTTATTTCACTTAACACAGTGTCCTCAGGGATCATCCATGTTATAGCATGTGGAAGGATTTTCTTCCTCTTTAAGGCCAAATAATATTCTGTTGTTTGTGTATACCACATTTTGCATATCCATTAATGGAGCACATTCCTCGTTTCTGAAACAAGTATTTTGTAATTCCCCCTTTACTATCTGAAAATGAATTCATAGATGGCATACCTAATTTAAAAATACATATAAACCTCTGAATATAATGTAAAGGAAATAAATGTATTTTAGTTAATGCTTAACTAGAAGACAAATGAAATAGGGAGATGCTTTTACCAGTGTGTAGAATTACCATAAATACAGTTAAAAATGCAGTGATGGAAAAGTATTGAGTTAGTCTTAACTCAAATTCCATGAAAAGTGCTTCCGTTAGTGATGTGATTTTTCTGAAATGGTGGACAACCCTTGGTCTGATCCAATAAAAAACAAAGCATAATATACATGATCACTTATTCCTGGAAAACTTAGCACCATTAAAAAAATATTTTGTGGCCCTAGCTGTTTTAGCTCAGTGGATAGAGCATCAGCCTACTGACTGAAGGGTCCTGAGTTTAATTCCAGTCAAGGGCACATGCCTGGGTTGTGGGCTCAATCCTGAGTAGGAGGCATGCAGGAGGCAGCCGATCAATAATTCTCATCATTGATGCTTCTATCTCTCTCTCCCTCCCTCTCTAAAATAAATAAAAAATATATTTTTAAAAATATACATTTTGTATCTATATATAAGAAAGAATTGGGTTGTAGGCTCGGGTTATTACAAATGCTGGCCTGTTTGCTTGGAAGTGAAATTATGTGTTTCTGTGTGTGAATATTTATTATCAGTTCTCTCTCTCTTTCTAATGATTTTACAACAGGATATTGAAGAGACGATGAACACTGCTTTGAATGAACTCCGAGAACTGGAGCGACAGAGTACGGCAAAGCACGCCCCCGATGTGGTGCTGGATACCTTAGAACAAGTGAAAAACGCGCCTACTCCCGCCACTTCCACAGAATCTCTCAGCCCTTTGCACAACGTTGCCCTCAGGAGCTCCGAGCCTCAGATTCGACGAAGCACGAGCTCCTCCAGTGACACGATGAGTACTTTCAAACCTATGGTGGCCCCCAGAATGGGCGTGCAGCTGAAGCCCCCAGCCCTACGGCCAAAGCCTGCTGTTCTTCCAAAAACAAACCCTACCATAGGACCCGCGCCTGCCTCCCAGGGCCCTGCAGACAAGTCGTGCACAATGTGAAAACCACTGGGCAAGGTCCTCCGGGGAGGTGATTTAAAAAAAAAAAGAAAATGGATTCGTAACAAGTCACGATCCATAACTTTCCTTAGTTTTGTGCTTAGAACTGGAGATCTTCTGGCTTTCCTATGTTCTCGAACGTAATGTCTGAGACTAGCTAAATTAACACGGGCATTTGTATTTTGTAGTTTCTTTCTTTTTTTCTTTTTTTTTTAAATAACTGGACATATGTCATTTAAAGACAATAGACTCACTTAGACTTACTTGAAAATTCAATGCTGCACCATTTGTAACAAAGGCAACAGCACTCCGCTCTCCGCATTGTGTAGCGCTTCAGGGGTAGAGCAGCCCTGATGCCTCCCAACCTTTGTTCCAGGCTTTGGAGTGTAACCAGTGCTGGTCTGTGGCATTTGGGGAAATGGCCAAAGGGTGGGGATGGCATTGTTTGGTAGCTGACAGTGAGCACCTGTGGTTCCATGGAGGGGGACAGGGTTTGGCTCATGCTGAAGACTTTCAGGTGTCACAGCGGGATGGACATTCCCAGTGAGACCTTCAGCTCACAGCCTGAAGGATGGGATGGTTGTCTCTTTCATAGTCAGTCATTTCCCTGGGTCCAGGTTAATGGCTCAGCGGAAGAGGGTAGAGCCTCTGTAGTTACTGCTTGACCTGAAACCTGGGAGAGGGGAGTGCCAGTTCTCCAGAGTTATCGCTGTGACTCCTTCCACGCGCCTGACCAGGCCCCAGAAGATTTCCAGCTCCAGCTTTCCCATTCACAAAGGACCAGAGCTGTCTAGTCTTCAAGACTATCTGGTTACACTACTCCACAAACTACTTCCAAGATCTGTGGTTTGGTTGCTGCCTGGAAAATATTCCCAGCTCCGCTGAATTCCATCTCTGGAAATGGAGAAAGCAAGCAGCACACCAGTGCTTGGTTCACTCGGCCTTCTCTTCTCCAGACCAAATGGCCTTGGTTCCTTTAAACATGCTGCAGAGAACAGACGATCCTGAATTGAATCCCCAACTTTCCTCTCCTTCTGTCTCTTTGAGCCAACCTAGAACTGGCCGCGGTACTGGAGTAAGCCCCGTGCTGGCCACGGTGGGAGAATTTCCTCCTGGTTCCAGGACCACTTCCTCCTGATTTTATATCCTGGAACCAGGACTTTTTTTTTTTCTTTTTCCTTTTCCTTTCTCATATGGTCTCTACATAATCCCCATAGTCACCTAGTCCATGAGGGGCCCTCTGACAAGTTTTCTTCAGCCCATTTTTATGCTATAGTTCCCTCTATCTTAAAACAGTTGCTTTGAATTAATTTGCTTTTACAAAGGTACAAATCACCACCCCCCAACCAGCAGCAGCTTATATCACCTATAAGCATATGAGCATTTTATCTGTTCCATCATTGAACTTCCTATGAGGAGACCCTTGTTTTTTATAATAAATGGATGGCCAGAACCCACCCCTCTGGACCACCATTGATTTCCTCTAAGTGTGGTTTCAAACTGGTAGCCAATCGCATGCCCACCTAAGAAGTACACACATGGACCTCATCAGCCCACTGGTGACTGCCTCGTGAAGGGAAGAATGAGGAAATGACTAAAACCAAGATCATGACTGAGCTCTACCTCAGTTTGCCAGTCTAATCATTCTAATGCAAACAGAGATTAAATTAATGAGATACTTTCCTTCCAAAGTCACACTCTGGTTGCTTGCCTACAGCCTAATTTCACAATTGTTTTGAATAGTGAATTTCCCCCCCAGTATTTCCAAGAATAGTAAGCTTTTAAACCTCTTCATTTTCAGAACCATCTGGGTGTTTTGTTTTGTTTTGTTTTGTTTTGGGGCGGGGAGGCCCATTTTGAAAGAGACCAAGCTCAGCATCTTGTCCAATCCTCTCCCCATTTCCCTTGAGCTCTAGTGGTCCTTTAGCACCTAGGACACGTGGACACACCCAGGACCACTCTTTGAATAGCATTAACCCTTTTAAACAATCTTCTCGAGCCCCCGAGGAAACTTAAACTTTGCTGAATAGTCTCCTGATTCTTTCTGGATTCCACTTCGGCTGCTGATTCTCTGTCACTCTGGGGAAACAGAAGCAACGAATAAAGGTGGGAACAACCGAGGAGGGAGGGGAAATGTTAAACCTTTTAGAAATTAAAATAAAAAGGATTCTTAAAAACCATTTTTCATCTTCAGTGGAAGTGCAAGATGATAACAAAGGGCATCGAAAGGTGTTTGGATTCATTGTTTGGCAGGGGGAGGAGAGGGGCCTCTCTTATAAGCTTTAACTATGGCTTTTCAGATCTTACTCCAAGCTTCATTCTCCAGACTTCCCCCTGGCGGTCCTCCCGTGTCCCCTCGCTGTGTGCCCCGGTGAGGAGTGGGGATCGCCCTTCTGCCCTCGGCTGCTGGGGATGGCAGAGGACATGCTGCTCTGGACCCTCGCAGCCTTCGAGACTGTGCCTTCCAGGAAACGGCTCCTAACACTATCCCGTCCCTTCCTCACTCTGCCTCTTCCGGAGCCTACATCCCTGCTGTCACCCTGAGGCACTTTCCCCCCAATTCCAGGGAAGGATGTGACTCCGAGTAAGAACTCAATAGGGATTGGCCTGTCCTTACTTTGTTCAGTAAAAGTCTTCAGATTCCAGGGGGAAGACAGAGTGGCCACCACAACGTATCCAAACTACCACCCTAAGGTAAGCTCAGTAAAAGCCTCAGCAGTGAGAGAGACTTCACCCGGTACCGGCCTGCCTTATAGCCTCAGGGCAGCACACTGCGGGGAGGTGGCAGGCACAGGAGTGAGGAAAGAAAATGAGTCCTGAGATGTTCTGCCTGCAGTTTCAAGGATTGTAGTCCTCATGTGCAGTTTGGGAAGAGTGTTGTTTTGATGATGGGGGATGGTGGTTCTACAAAGATTACCTGACTCCGCGTACACAAGACTATGTATCCTCAGCTGATATCACTGTATGTTCACGTCCCCTCCACGGAACTCACCCAACTACATTTGCCAAGCTGGCCTTCGGTTTGGGTCAGGGTGTGGGTTAGCATAGACAGAAAGGTACTTAGTACATATTTGGCCCTTTGTAGAGCTCCATGTTCATGTTCAGTGTCACCGCTATTGTTCCATTGCATGTTTCCTCACATGTGATCTGACTGTGGCACCCCTTGAGCCTCCATAGAATCACAACCGTGCCCCACCGAGCCTACTGCAATGAGCATGAAAGTTATCAATGGATATAGAGCCCCGAGGGTCAGATTGTATCAGTTCCGTTTTCTGTCTTTTTGTACTTCTGCCATTTCCAAAAACGGGCTTATAATTTAATCAAGGAGACGAAGGAAGTGGGGAGTGCCATTTTGGGGGGATGCCATAGCCCCTGGGGTCTACAAACTGAAGAAACTTGAATCTGATCATTACAGCCTCAAATAAGAATTAAGAGCCCATGGGTCCGTCGAGGGTGTAGAAGACTTCACATTTGGGGTGATACAGTAGCGAGAGGCCATGAACGCAGGAAATGCACTTGGGACTGAGTCTTGCTCTGAGTTACCCACCTCAGAAGCCCCGAGCCACGAGCGGCTTTAAAGGGAAGGCTCTATCCATGTGTGCATAGAGCGCCCAGGGAGTCACCCCCCTGAACTGGGAACCCCACCACCAGCTGGGCTGAGGGCGGGGGGGGGGGGGGGGGGAGGCTGGGTGCAGGGCGGGTGGCACAGCTTTGTCCAGATCCATAGAACAAACTGGAAATGGAGCTTTTACTTACCCTAGTATACTTCTTAAACAATAGTCTACGTGGTATAATCAAGAAGGGTACCTGTATCTTTAAATTACGTAGGGAATTTTGTATGTTTAAGTAACTGTACTGGGTTCCATAATGCTTAGAGAAACTGTTTAGTAAAAGAAAATATATAAACCGTGCATTTGTGAATGCCCCCTTAGAGCGTTCATCCGAGTTGAGTGTGTTGTGTGACGGTTGTCAGAGCTGTTTATAGTGAGTGGCTGTGGGGCGGGAGAGACCGCTACTTACCAGGGGCTCCAGGGCAGCCCCTGCCCACTTAAGGAAATCAGTGTTGTCCTTTCCTGTCCATTTGGTCAATTGCAGTACTGGTAGCTTCCTGCTTGTGACTGTTACCTAATTGTGTCAATGTACATCTGTAGTATGTACATGTGAAAGTGCCTTTCTATGTTAGGAGTTTTAGCCTGGCTCTTCACTGTTGCCCCGCCCTCCTCCCCATCTTCTCCCCCCGCCCCCACCCACCACCTCCAATTTTTACTGCCTCCTTGCGTGTTGAAACTTCCTCCACTCTCTCCCAGCTCCTCCATCCCCACCTTCCTGTGCCTCGAGTGCTCAGTGTTGTCCCCTCTTGCATCCTTGTCATCAGACCCTCATTTTCCTTGTGACTGTGACTGTGCCTTCCCCACGGTAACTCTCCCCCCCTGCGCCCTCCCTTCCCACCCTCCCCTCTCCACACCCTGCCACCTGCCACCCACACCGCCTGTTTGCCTTTGCTCTCTGTGCTGCCTCTTGCTTTTCTTTACATTCTCTTGGCTCTGAGGTGTACGTGAAGGGGGATGCTTTTACAGGTCTGGGAGAACAAAAAAAAAAAAAAAAAATGTTTTGTTCTGTTGTGACAATGCACTTTTATGTATAGTACTGTACATTTTGGCATGTACCATTCCAGGCTTCCGTATAAAGTCAGGTCTGTTCTTCACGGTGTACCTTTATAATAAATAAGATAGTTCTGGCTGCCTTTGTCTGCTTCCGATTTGGTATGATTCTCCGTGGTGTTTTCATTCCTTTCCTTTTTTTTTTGCCCCCCTAATCACCGTTGACCCTCCCCCCCAAGAGAGCTGAGTTGCATTAAATAATGTGAAACTATCTTTTTTTTTTTAAGTTATCTCTTTTCATTTTTGTTTGTGAATTTGGAATGAGGCTTTCTGCACAGACCCATGACCACGAGGCCAGGTTTTCAGAGTGACAGTTGGAGAGACTCCTGTGTAGATGAGGCAAAGTCTCATCTACTTGGGAGAGTCTTAATGCAGAGGCTGAGAGCACAGCCCTAAGCACTCACCAGCTGGAAGTCTTTTTTTTTTTTTTTTTTATGTGCCGATTTTATTTTTTTATTCCTTATTGTCTTTCCTACCCATTTATCCCCTCCTCCAGCTTCACATTGTTGTCCATGAGTTCTCTCTCTTTATTATTCTTTTTTGCTCAATCCCTCCAGCCTCCTTGAAATCTTTTTCTTAAGGACCCTGGCATAGTAAACCTTGTCAAGTTTAGTTTCAGTTGAATAAACTGAAATGCAATCCTTAGGTATAGACTATGTTTAGAATTCCCCAATGTATTGATATTGGTACTTTTTTTCTCAAACTAAAAAAAAACAAAACACAAACACAAAAAAAAAAAAAACTAACTCTTGGAGACTTAGCAATACATCATAAATAGTTTTATAAAACTGTATCAGCAATGTGCTGGATTGAATATTGATTAGAGTTTTGGAGTAAAACATAACATGTAAATCAACGGGTAAAAACTTCATTGATGTTAAAATACATACAGAAAATTACACAAATCATTGGTACAACAGTTTTCACAAAGTAAAACAGTAATACAATATTTTCACCACCTGGATCAAGAAATAACACATTATCTGCATCCCAGAAGCTAAGCTTGTGCCTCTCCCAAGTTCATCAATATCCTGATGAATAACAGGTTGGGTTTCCCCTGTCATTATAACTTTTTTTTAATTGATTGATTTGAAAAAGACAGAAATAGAGAAACATTGATTTGTTGTTCCACTAATTTATTCATTCAGTGATCGATTCTTATGTCCTGATGGGATGGAACCAGCAACCATAGTGTTAATTGGAAGGATGCTCTAACCCAGTGGTCGGCAAACTGCAGCTCTTGAGCCACGGTTTGTCGCTCTGTTGACTAATGAGTTTGCCAACCACTGGCCTAGACTCTAAATTCCAATAATTACAGGCTGTTGTTGTTCCTTGTGATTAAGCCCTAACCAACTGAGCTAACTGGCGAAGGCCTCATTATAACCTGTTTATAAATAGACTCACAGCATGTTGATATGAGATGGCTTCTTTTGTTGAAATTTATGCCTGATAATTGTCCACCTGATATTTAACAGTAGGGTTTTTTTTCCACTTTCACTGCTATATAGAATTCTATTACAGTAGCATGCTTGGTGTTATATTTATTTTAGTATTCCTGATTAAACTTTGGGTATGGTATTGAAATGTGAACAAGTAAATGAACAAAAAGTAAAGTAAAGCCCACCTCTTAAAGGACATGTTTTCCCAAAACATGATGGAATGACTTGGGACAAAGCCATTGACTGGAAGGCCTACCTGAAAGCAGGTAGGACCAGAAAGATGGAGCTTGAGGCTGCCACACAGGAACAAACGCCCAAGTGATACAGGATGGTTCCCAGAAAGATGCCGCTGCCCTGCACCTCCCTCACTGCCACCCTCAGGTCTGAGCCTCCGCCCCCCAAGTGCAGCTACATCCCCCCTCATGAATTAGAGTCCATGGGCGTGTGTCTGCTTGTCAACTCCCGCTGTTTGTACACCAGCCAACCCTGGAAGAATATGAGAAGGCAGGGAAAAAGAATTTTCTGCCTTCTGCCTTGGGTACCTGGGACTCCTGGAGTGGAAAATTCCCCAAGCTTGATCTAAAGTCCCAAAAAGTTCCTGGGAGCCAAAAACCAGCAATTTTCATCCCACCGGCCATATATTCCCATTTGGGTTTTGAAAAATATGGTCAATGTATCTTTGGGAAATAATCAGGGTGAGGTTTATCATTCTCCAGTAGCCTTTTTACCTCTTCCTACATAGTACATAGAAATGTGCCTTCTGCAATAATAAATATAAATAAAAGAAACAGCCAGACTTGGCCAATGTGGCTCAGTGATTGAGCATCATCTAATGAACCAGAAGATCAGGATTCAATTTCCGGTCAGGGCACACGTCCAGGTTTCAGGCTTCAAACCCAGTGGAGGAATGTGCAGGAGGTAGCCGATCAATGATTCTCTCATCATTGGTGTTCCTATCTCTTCCTCTCCCTCTCTGAAATCAATTAAAATTTATTTTTTTAAAAAGAAACAGTCAGTTTATCAAGTTTCGTTCTTCACATGAGTTGCTGGAGAGAGCTAGGACTTGGCTAAATATCAAGGGAGTGTGTGTGTGCACGCGTGCGTGTGTGTCCTGATGTTACCTCTTTTATTCCCTTTAACATGTGGGTTTATGTCTTTTTTTATGCCCTTTATTGTCATTTAGAGAGCTATTGGGAGGCAGCAGAGAGGTAAATGTCTGTCTTCAGATCACCACCTTTAAACTCTAAAGTTTCTCCTTTAGCCTCCTAACAAAATCCTTCCTGGATAAATCAGGCAGAGTTGGTTTCTGGTGCTTGCAACTGAAAGACCTAATCTGTGCACATACTGAGAGAATTTTCTTCCTAATACAGGTATCCCCCATTTTCCCAAAACTTATGTTACACCACTTCACTTTTATGAGAGACCTACATTAGTACCTGTTTTTGCTAACTGAAAGTGCAGGAGGCAACCAATTGATGTGTTTCTCTTACATCGATATTTCTCTCTGTCTATCCTCTCACTTCTACTCTCTCTAAAAGTCAATGGAAAAATATCCTTGGATGATAAAGCAAAGTAGTAAAAAATAAATAAAGATGAAAAAAAATGAGGAAAACTTGTTTAGCATGGTGTGAAGCAAAATACATGACCACAAGTGCTTATTGAATGTATAGAACACTTGGCCAAAATGAATAAGTAAAATGACCATAATAGTTCATAAGTTTTGACTTGGAAAAATAAAAAGTTATAATGTAGCTTGTTGGGAATGAGAGCTTGTTAAGAAGAAAAGATAGTAAGTCCCCAATGACCTATGTGAGAAAAAAGAGGTTCAGATGTATCTGATCATGTGCCCAAAGAAAATCACCAGCGGGCTCTGGGAATAACTTGCATTAAATAAATATTTCAAAATAGGAATTCATATGTAGGTCAAATGCAGGCCACGAGTTTTAAAAGTCTACTGGAATTGAAAAATATATTTAGAATGAAGATATTATAATTGAGTTTTGACAATTCAGTATGATGGAAAACTTTCTATAAAATAATTACCAGGAAGCTCTAGACATGAAAATATTGGTCACAATAAAGAGAGAAGGCAATATTAAGCCACCCAATTTGATGGTGCAGTTCATCCTTATTGCACTCTTAGAATTAGCCGAAACCAGTTTGGCTCAGTGGTAGAGCATTGGTCTGCGGACTGAAAGGTCCCAGGTTCGATTCCGGTCAAGGGCATGTACATTGGTTGCGGGCACATCCCCAATAGGGGGTGTGCAAGAGGCAGCTGATCAATGATTCTCTCTCATCGATGTTTCTAGCTCTCTATCTCTCTCCCTACTTCTCTGTAAAAAATCAATAAAATATATTTTAAAAATAAATAAATTGCCTGAGTCCAAACCCCCAGCTGCCAGTCACAGTAGAATTTCCAAAGGCCCATCGATGCCCTTCCAGCTTCTCATTCCTCCCCTAGAGGTTCCTTCTTGTTTTATGTATCTTGGGGGCTTCAGAGGTTGTCTGGCTCCATCCAGTATCAATACACAGCATGGCAGAGAGGCCACTACAGCTGAGTAGCTGCTGGCCTTTGAGAGTTATGCCCAAAGCACAGCACTGAACAAAGTCCCTGCTGCCAGAGCAGACCCAGGGCAGAGACAGCAGTGTCCTCCCAAGTAGCAAATCCAAAATGGGCAGCACTGACACCGACAGACGCACGTGGCACTGGACTGAGACATCCTAACAACTGAGGAGTGCATCAGCATTTCAGTGAAAATGCATATCCCATTACTGGGTCTGGTACCTTCCCCCTTGGCATTGATTTGGTGGTGATTAACTGTTATTTTGTTCAACTGTCAGGACAGAAGAAATTATTTTCTTATTTCCACCTATTCCCAGGGAAAGTCCTAGAGAGTTGAGAGTAGACTTAAAATATAATGACTTGAAATTATGCAAAAGATATATTAAGTTAACATTATATATATAACTTATATATATAAGTTAACTTTTCTACCAGTATTTGTCGCTTTGTCATTATATCATGGCTATGGAAACCAAAGGAAAGGACTGTGTGTGATCAAGTCAAAATCAGCTCCCTACAAACTGGAGAATTTGGGTCAAATGATAAAAACATCTGCATGCAGCTGGAGACAAGATCGAAATCGAACTCAGAATGGTTCTAGGCCTTCACGACAGGCATCCTTTTCCTTTATTTTTAACGTGCGTGATACGGATCTGTGGTGTGACTTAGCTCTTAGCACCTCACAAGTCTACCTGCCTTCTATCCCCTGGGCATCTACGGTTTTCTTAGATCTTTGCTGAGAAGAGGCTTTAAGGATGGATGTTTATGTTGCACTTAGGATTCAGTCTGCTCTGTTGAGCAAGACAGACAATTAAAGACTTTTTTAAAAAGCCGTCAATAATCTTCTAAAATGGACAGCACATCACCTCATTCCCCACTTAAACCCCCTAGGATGATTTCCCATGCCACTTGGAATAAAATCCAAACTCCCAACCTGGGTCAACATGATCCGGCTTCTGCCAAACCCGTCTACCCCCTCTTGTTCTGTCCCCCTCATGACATACTGGCAGTTTTGTGTCCCTCCTACATGCTGAGCTGGTTTCTGCCTCAGACCTTTACCTAGCTCCCTCAACCTAG